CTCTGAAACTGGCAACCTGTACTATCAAGGTCCTTCGCATCGTTTATTTAATATTCTCTTGGAGTTTCTGGCCATTTAACCCTTTAAGCCCTTAGAGTGATCCGCATGAAATTTCCCCTTCTAATATCAATGCTTTGTAAAACAGAGTGGTCATGAGAATTGAGTACATGATCAGGGAAGATGAGGGAAATTGATATTTCAACAAATTCTCCCCACTACTTCTATTGAAAAAGTATAGGGACAGTAAATGAGAATCTCAATTTTGATATTAGGGTTTTAAGGGTTAAGCCCCCCCCTCTCCCCCCCGATATCAAAGACTCCTGCGATAGATGAACCGAGGGGGCAAGCGACAAGGTGTACAGCGTTCGCCATATCCACACGATCCCAAGACCGCGGCCTTTCGAACTCATCGAACATCACACGGTAACAAAGGGAACTTTAAGCAGTCAACTGGCAACAAAAATCGTTAAGAGAAAGCGTTTTGACAAGAAGGAATAATCTTTTAGATTATTCTCTTGGTTTTATAGATTATTCTCTCCTGGTTTCGAGAGGAAAGGAATTTTCGTGGCTCGCCTGGGCCGTTTCTTCCTTTTCTTTTGCACTTCTTCACTCGTGCGACGTTATTTTAGCAGTTTAATTATTATAATTATTATTATTATTACTTTTTTTTCATGTCGCGGGAGATCGCGACGTTGGTATTGGAATGCTGCCATTTCCAAGTTCAAAAATTCTCACTTTCAAAACGAGGTTTAGTGCAAATCTTTTCTTGTGAAAATGAGTTCTATTAATAGTTTCATAAGAATACATAAAAACATTTTCCTATCAATTGTCGGTACTTAGCCTCGCTTTGAAACAGAGGCTTGTAACAGCTCGGAAATGGCTTATTTGCAATCCCATGCGCAGGGTCCCTAAGACCTCAGATTGTCGTGGGAACATCCAACGGTCAAGACTTTTACACGTGTAATTGTACCCATTGTTTTAGCGTCTCAGAACAATAGATACACTTGCAAATTACAAGTGTAAAAGTTTTTTTAAACTGACCCCGAAACTCTTCTAATTAAAAGCCACCTTTTTCGTAATAATAACGCAATGGTCATTTTGATCATGCTGTCTTGCGTTACATTTCCTTTAAATGCAATATATAGACCGCAGACCTATAGGACTGAAGACATTAAGATCGGCTTGCGGTATACTCGGCTCTTCGTGCCTCGCTCGGAAAGCGCTGAATGCGTTGCCGTTCATTCCCGCCGAGCATGGGATAATACTTTACCAGGTTTGTAACAGGATCGCATGACGGTTTGATCGATCACGTTTTTATTTGATCCTACAGATCCTACAGTAAACAAAGGCGAATCACGCTATCCTGCTATCTGTATCGACTGTAAAATTTAACTGCAACCAAGTCACAAATAACCCCTCTGCGCCCTGTGGCCGACTTTCTACTAAAATCTTCTGTTTGTTCGTTTTTTTCCATTTTGCGTTATGACAGCTTAATGCAAACTATGTCGACCTTTTTTAGTTAACTTTAGGTTTAGGAAGGTTAACTCATGTGCTGATGAATCACTTAATGAAACCAGTCACACCGCAGTAAATTCGTTTAATATGTAGTAAACAATATAGAAGGTTTTGTTTTTGTTTTGTTTTCTCCGGCAAACTGATCTCTTTTTCATTCTTCGGTTCGTATGCTTGTAACCATTACAGGTTCCCTGCGGTTAGATACTCGTAAACCAGACTACCTCCCGCCAGCTAGCAAAAAATCTCCGGCTTTGGGGTGGTCTTTTGCAGAAATTTTTCAACTGTATATTGTTGAATCATTCCATGGAAAATGAGAATGATTCCACCGTGGGGAGATGTTTGTCTGTATAAAGGTTACTCCGAAAAAACACTACCTCCAACACCACCTTTTTTCGCCGTTCATGGTGTTTTTAAGAAAACGAATTGAATCTGGTTATTATACATGTGGGCTCTTCGAAAATAGAAAATATATTTATTTCGTTGAATTGGCAAATGGCCTTATGTTAACTGGATAATAAGAATTAAGGCTTCGTCTTAGTAATTACGACACTTGTACACGTATTATATCCTCCTACTTCGGGTAAGCATTTTTGTTTTCTAAAATATTGAACAAGCATGTGTATATAGTACTATGTAGAAGTACTTAATAGTCATTTTAGTTGTCACGCTCGGTATTCCATACACAGACTCAAAAGTTAGAACGACGAAAGTACTCACTGAAGAGGCTTCATTTGAATGGTCACTCCATACGATTCTGTGCAAAGACTCGAAACAAAAGGACTGATGGGGTGAGGAAAGGTACAAAGGAAGAGCAATATTAAAAAACCTAACCGAACTGAAGGATCCTGAAGTGTCACCGCCGACAGCAGAAAAAAGTTTGGACACCACATTTATAAAACTTTTCATTGCCAACTAAAAGTGCACCTTCTTAACAAGGTAGTTTACAATTTTTCAGCACACTTTATTTCGCTACGAATTATTTACGAAATGATTACTGATCACGCATTACTGTCCGACGCAAGTCAGGGTGTGTTTTTTTAGAACATGTTATCCATCATGAATGTTAAGACGTAAAGGCGAATAACTTTGACCGAAGTCTGTATCCACCCACCACCTCCCTTCCGCTTTGCTTGTGTCGCATGTTTGCAAGTTTTTGGAACTCACGATGATTCAGGAATTACATAATTTTGTGCGTAGCGTAGATTGAAATCATAAGAATACGCAAGGTGTGTCCAAGGAAGACTTACGCGGCAATATCTAAACCCCTAATCTCCCACTGATTATATTTGCTATCCCATAAAAGATGAATAATCCTTTATAGTCTAACTGGATGAATAGTTGCCAAGGTATTTGCGTGAGGGTCGGGTGTATAAAAAAGTGTGTAAGGCCATCCGTGACTAATGGACTTTTTGAGCTAAGCACGCATAGTCCTATAGTCTCAAACGTGATGTTTCCGGTACCAGAACATTATGGCCATAAAAAATTATGTTAACAGTCACGGAATTCAAAAACAAACGCAAGTCCTTTGCAGTTTTAAATAGGGTCTACATACACATTTCTAAGATTTAGATAAAAATCATTGTCTTTCAATGTCAAGCGGGAAAATAGATAAGAAGCAGTTATCAAAAAAGAGACTTTTCTTGGCCGATTTCTTTGCCTAACGTGTAATGGATCTTCCACTGACGATTTGAGTAATGAGTTTGGTAAATTAATTTTGGGCATTAATAAGAGAGTAGATCTCAGTATACCTAATAAACCAGTTGTCTGAGTATGATCCTTAAAAGGCCACCGTCGATCAACAAGGGTGGATGAGTCATGTATACGCAAAAGGTTTAAGTTTTGTGGACATCAGTGTAAAATAGGGCTTGTCAGCTAAAGTACAGGAAGCGGAACTTGGACCACTAACAGTTTGAATCTGATGACTTATGCCGACAGGAATGGGGCATAGCACTTGGACTCTCAAACCTTTTAAAATCCTTAATATCAGAGTAGTTACATATCTTCCATTCTGATCGGGAGTCCATACATTTTCGTAACCTGTGTACAGCCTCCCCACTCCTCAAAGAAAACATTTCGTGGTGCTGATGAGAAAAATTCATTTAACAATCTAAACGCTTCCTACTTGTTGATCATTTCAGTCCTTCAATCACGTTTATGTATCTTGCAATGTTATGTCATGTTATCAATGTCCTCCTGTTATGTTTGTCCCATTGAGAGTTTCCGTCGCCAAGAGCTTCATGAACCACAAAGGTCAATGAAGCAGGCGGCATGTCAAGTTTTCCTTACGCTGACAAAAATGTTGGCACGTGTTACTGTTTTTTCTATAAAACACGGCTGTTACACAAGGCTCATACCAGAGTGAAAAATTCAGCCGAGCTGTGCAAGACACCAAAAAGTTCCTTGAAAGCTCATAAGTATACAACCAACTGTTTTCCATTGAGGTAAGGTTATCAAAATCAAAATTGACAATTATATACGTGTATTTAAAACAAGTGAATATATTTATTTTTTTTATTCATTTTATTTATTTAATTTTTGCGTGCACGCCAGTTGGCTTGCTAGTGTAGCATGTAGATCATTGTTAGTCACATGCAAAATAGTAATGTATTGTTGGTTACTGCTGGTATTTAATTGTCGTTTGTAAAAAGGGTAATTGAGAATTTCCACAAAGTATATACGTACTCATCAACTTGCGACAATTCTTTGAAAGTGACAAGTACACTCTTGATAATTGACCATGCTGAAGTCTCTGTTGATAAACATATTATTTTTGTTCTTAGCTAATGAAAAGAGAACCGGTTTAATATGCTACATAATCAGACTGATCGAAAATTCAAACTTGAAATTGCCGTTAATAACAACCAGAAAACGACGGGACTGATTGAGCTTGACATCCCCTTGACTGACCGACCAGCGCACTTAACGCCGGGCTTTGTCACTATGGCCAATTTACTTCATCAACTCAGTTTACAATACAACTGAAATTCTTTTTCTTCACCTACTTGATCGTTATTAACGCCTAAGAATTGTTCGCGAACGGACCCACATCACACACGCACAGGTGAGTAGAGTCCCGGATATTAAGAGTACGAATTAGATTTTTGAGCCGTCCCTTGTCCACCAGTTAAGTGTACGCAGTGAGACCTCACGTGTTGCGAGCAACTGTGTCATTCACGTTCACCATGCAAAACTCGAGGAAAATAAATTTTGCTGATCGCACTGTTCCTTTCCATCAGATAAACAACACATGACTTTTTAATAAAGCAATGCTGATTCAGAAATTTGGTAGGGGGTCGACGTCGGCGGGATTGAATCAAGTTACTATAATTTACTATTTATTCAATTTTCCAGAAAACAACGTGCGCAGTTAGGACTGCCCATGAGCTATGCCTTTTATTTGCTCGCAAATTGATCCTGTTTGGGCTGTAATTGTTTCGGGTGCCTTAAATAAACAACGCATTTTAAATTTTTCTTCCGAGGTTGAAATGCCTTTTAAAGTACTTGTTTATTGCGTCGTGTGTTTTGAAAGGTAAGAAAAATTGGAGAAACCACAACTTTATAATAACATATAAGTATTGACTTTCTTTGGCTTTTACCCAGATCACAGGGTAAAAGAAAATCGGCAAAAGGTATGGGCTATTGTTTTTATTACATTCTTTACCAAACATTTTAATTGGATTACAAGTCAGTGAACTGTAGATGTCCGTTTTTTCGTGTGTCCGAGCCTCGCCGGTAATCGATAAGTTTGAGTGCAGCGGCTATCAAACATCTTATTGTGTTTATTAAGTGAGATCAAAGAAACGGAAGCTCTGAAGAGATATATATAACACGAATTTCCACATGATCAAGTTTTGATGGTATAAAATTAATCCGCGTGTGTTCAGATGGATGAATTACCATTTCAATTCTACAAAAATGTTACGGCAAGAATATATGTCACTTAAACTTTTGGACGAAATCTTCAGATGTTGCCATTCAAATTAAACCACTCCGGCAGACCAGTTGCATTGATTTATTTGCCTTGTCGTTTTTATCTTAAACAGATTTTCTTTATTTCTTTCTTTATTTATTGTCCCTATTACGCGTGAGAGGGAAAAGGGCGATTCATAAAAAATCCGGGAATCATTGCATTTAAGCGAGTTCCCTGATCGAAGCTTCACAGTTTCTTTCCACAACGACTATATGTGCGGCGTTTGTGCGCCTAGAAAGGGTATGGCCTTCACTCCCTCATTGTTTCTCGCCGATCTGGGACTTTTTTCGCCTGTGTGCGGCGCGTTCGGTTCCAGGCCTGCTCTACTCACTCGCACTGCGCGAGTTAACCTTTTCCTGGGGTGAATTTGATAAAACGATTGTGTGTTTTCACATGACGTCATGGCGGCCATATTTGTGTCCCAAAACAATGAAATGGCGGCCATGTTGGCCACCAGTCTTGTGGGAGTTGAACTCTTTTCTTATGTAAACACTTTCTTTTGTTCCAATACATTTGCATAGACGCTGGCCACGTGAGTGAAAACACTCTATCACAAGTGTAATTTACAAGTGTAACCATTGTTTTTAGACACTAAATCAATGGGAACACTTGCTACTAATAGCGCTTTGCACTATTACTAAAAATAGGTTTTGTCACGTTAAACCCCCCGCGTGACTTTGCATTCTGCTCAAACGCTTTGTATGAGCAACATCCGTTTCCGAAATGGAAATTATTCATAAAATTCGTAATGAGCGTTTTTATATTTTTGTTAGCTTTATTCTAATATATAAAAGGCATTTATTTACTGCTATACGGAGTAAAACCTGGTCCAAGTAACTCAAATAAACGGTTAAAATCAGAAAATAGAGCGACCTGATCCAAGCAGGCTACTGAAATCGGATGCCAAACTCTGTCTTAGTCAAATAGCACTCTCCAAAAATGTTATGTCATGTTTTGGTGCATAGAGACTCTATGCACGAAAACATGACATAACATTTTTGGTTGTGTAATACTCCACAACCGAAATTGCTAAAAAGGAAATCGGGCTTGTATGTGCTTCTCGCTAGCCTGTGGCAGACTGAATTTTTAAGCTGAAAAGCACACCAACTGAACATCACAAACCGGAAATTGTATAACTTTGTTCTGTTGTTGTGCGGCCAGGTATGTAGGTACCATACAGTACTTTATATCCTGTAGTACTAAGTAGCTTAATGTAAGCACTCGAGAAAGAAAAAAGAGTAACCTTTTCCTATAAATTTAACCAAATGCTCCGTTTTATGAACAGCTTTGAAGCCCTGCTCTCCATACATTTGTTAGTAAAAAGCCGCAACATAATTATACTCACAGTAATAACACCGCATAAGAAATACAATTTTTATTTCTTATGATTTTAAATCATTCATCTATACAGTTTTTTTCCATGTTTATTTTTGTCTTGGCACACGTTGATTATTTTCAGGATATATGTCATCGAAACCAGGCTGGAATTTGTTTCTATTGACAATAAAAATCTTCAAAGACGAAATAAATAATTTGTTTTATTTTTTCCCAGATGTCTTGTGTGTGGACAATACTGTTGGCGTTCATTGCCTTTCTGTTCTTTTCCATCTCCGCACCGGTTCATGGAGATTGTGCAAGCTGTTGCCACGGCAAATGGAGTCAATGTTTCAGTAGCTGTGAGGATATGGTGCTATGTTCTGAGTGTACTGAAGAGAAAGAGACTTGTATTGGTAATTGTCCAGGAAGCTGTTCTCTAAAAAGCGCAGCATCAATATCGTCGTCATCACTTCGTAGAGCGTTTGTCAAGGTCAACAACCTTAAAATGCACAAGTTCCAAAGAAGACTAAGAAAGTTTGTGAAAAGGATGAACAGGCGTCAGATTGCTTGAGAATGCAACTACTGCGAATCAACTAAATACAACAAATGCAGAACGAAGAATTCCTCATTAGCTTAAACTTAATGGGAAAAAGAGGATTGATTGAGTCAAGAGCTGCTGACCGAAAAACGCTTTTCTGACTGACTACCCCAGTTACAGACTTTGTGGACATTTTTGAACGTCCGATAACCAATAAACTCGACCTGGTTGCTTAAAGTCAGCAAGTATGACCTATCATTCAAAATTAAAAGTATCCGTGTATTTTACATAAAGGTTCCAAAACTCAGAGCAATTTGTTTACGCAAAAGAAAGAGTTGTTACGTGTTCCCACGCCGAGGATTTGTAAATTGCGGGGTTGTTCTGATCCGTAAAGTAAGAAAACCTCATTTTACAGCATATTGCTGTTGGAATATTCGATTATATATTGTAATGTTGGAATATTTCGAAGTATGAGTTTCTTTGTTTTCGAAAACAAAAATGACGAAAAAGGTCATCTTTCTGTTGAAAAAGGTTTAGTGAACTGTAGGTAGATATTTTCTCTAGTCTTATTTATATTTTGAATGAAAGCTGGTTTGCCTTGAAACATGCTTGTGAAAAGAATTGATAACTACCCGAGACACTTTCCAAAAGGATAAAAGACTCGGTATATATAAAACAACAATGAGTATTTCAATTATGCTCTCTCAAATACATTTGAAATGAAATATAATATTGAGGAGAGGACGTATGAAACACTAAGGCCTAGGCCGAACGTCAGACTTTTCATGTGAGACGAACAACACTGTAATTTGGGTCGATCTAAATAAGACACTGAACTTATCATAAAAAATTGCCGATATTGATCACCGGAAATAAATTGTAGTTAATCAGCAACTCTTGTTTGAGCTTTGTCCTATGTCCAGTGATTTTCACGTGCAACCTCTTCACTGTTTATTCGAACAATCACATGGCACTCTGCCATGTTCAATGCATGCATTCCCATGTGCATCACTCTGTTCTTTCACAGGACGCCCACGCAAGTGTGCGTAACCGATTGTTACTTATAGCATCGATTATGGTTACTAGATTTACCGTTTGCTTGACCTATAGTGATATATTGCTAGGTACACAGGCTTAACAGAGCCAGACGTCGAACTTTTCATGAACTTAACTCACTAAGTTTTGTTTTTCTCATGAACGTTGGACGTTCGGTCTAGGCCTAAATGTATTTAACTTTTCAGTATAGTAAAGACGCAGTTGATTTTCGGGCTCCCATGAGAAATAGTCTTTGGTGTTATTGCAGATAACGATTTATATCTATAGAGTGTTTTCACTCATGTGGCCAGCATCCGATTGGAACAAAAGAAAGCGTTTGCATAAGAAAAGAGTTCAACTCCCATAGGATTGGTTTCGGACACCAACATGGCCGCCGTTTCATTGTTTTGGGACACCTGAATATGGCCGCCGTGACGTCATGTGAAAACACTCTATAGCCCTTACAAAGTGTAAAATGATCTGAAGGGAAACAAAAATTACTTCGAGTTCGCGGGAGGTTCGGGTTATCGAGCGTTCGAGTTACCCGAGGGTAAAATTACAGGAAATGATGAGTATATAAATTTATCAAAGAAATCCAGGGGAAATCGATTTTGGTTCGAGTTAGCGCGAGGTTGAGTGAGCGAGGGTTCGGGTTATCGGGAGTCGACTGTAATTTCTCATCGGCGAGAGTCATTTTTTGAGTTGAGTTTGATTGAGTAGCAACGGTCCTCTTATAGAGGATCAAGGTAAAACAGAAACAAAACATCCTAGATCGCGACGGTAAAGTAACAGATACAACAGCTGCCACGGATTGGCAAAACCGAAGAAGATTGATTGAAGGGGGGTTTTGAAAAACTGTTGAGACTAACAGCATGCGTCCGCTGTTTAGAGGAAATAATGGGGATCGATTTTTTTGTAACGATTTTGACACCAGCCTACTTTCAAAAAAAAGAAAACAAGACATCAAAAATATGGCAAATTACTGTCATGTAGAACACCTACATTTCCCTTTTGAGGTATTTTTCACTACCTAAAGTATTTCTCAAGTGTTCGTTGGCGGTTTCAAAAATGTTCGTTGTCCGTCCGTCTTAGAGAGATGTTCGTCTTACAGGGATTACCGTAAAATTCCGAAAATAAGCCCTGGGGCTTATATTTTTCAAAGGCCCTTTTGGAGGGGCTTATCTACGGAGGGAAATTTGTGTTTCGAAATCGATTGGACTATCTTTATAGTTGGAAGTAAATTTACCGTTTTTACTTTGTTTTACTTTGTATTTTGGGGGCAATTTTCCAAGTACAAGCCCCCAGGGGGCTTATATTTGGAGGGGCGATTTAACGGAGGGTTTTTTGTGTTACAAGTTTGGGGGGCTTTTATTTGGAGCGTCTTATACATGGACGGGCTTATTTTCGGAATTTTACGGTATATTTATAGCAAAATGGCTGAAATGAGAAGCAGGGACCAACACAAGGTGTCCGTCTTAGAGAAGTGTCTGTCTTAAAGAGGTGTCCGTCGAGAGAGAGATGACTGTACTTTGTATCGGGCCCGGGGGAGTACTGCCATATATGGGCTATATAGGTATGTGCCGCTGTGAAGGGTATGGTTTTCAGGCAGTTTACTCTAGGATAGGGTATAGAAATCAGAGCGTTTGGGTCTAGAATAGGGTATCATTTTTCAGGAAACTGATCAGTTGGATGAAGATTTTATCTAGACAAGGAAAACAGCTACTCTAGGATAGGGGGGATTTGGGGAGTTTACTCTAGTATAGGGTAGCAAAATTCAGCTGAACTAGCTCTTGTATAGGTTAAGGGTTCCAGGGTCCCAGGGGCACATCCCGACCCAGAAATTCCTAAAGTACCCCCCCGGGGTATCGGGTCGTTCTCCCACCATGTCAAATTGTAGTTTTTTCTCTATTCAGAGGATTTCCACCCGGGTGGTTTTGTGTAAATGGTAAGTACCCTTGATTTTCTGTTTACAGTCGCTTCTCATAATTTAAACAAGACCAACAACAGTGACACACTCGCCGGGTGTGCCACTTTTTTTCTATTTACCACATACAGTGTATTTTGACGTTATCTGTGATCTATTATACTGAATAGAGGCATGGCAACATGGAATGGATCGGTTAAATACATCAACAAGAAACGAGTCATTCTACCTAAAACGACAGTTTAATGCGAGCTGTCCGGTGTTGAGCAAACAAAAACACGCTCGTGAACGCCAGAATACATGGCTCAAGAACATCATAATGACAATCCTTTCTTGTATTTTAGTTCTTTTGTAGTTAGATCATCAAATTCCATGGTTGTAACTGCCCTGTTTTTAGCATCTGGGTTAAACGTTTAAAATTGACATGAGTATGGGTCGTCCTGGCAGGATATTACACAATCTTCATGATCTGCGGTGCAGACTTCACACATAATTTTTGGTGCACACATTGACATACACTGTCGCCAACCAGAAAAACAGCAACGGCGGCATTCATCTGTTCGCGCATCGACCGCGAATTTGCAAGTTCCGCACAGTCCAGTGACAATCAGCAAAAGGACGAAAATGATCTTGGTATTCTGAAATTAATAGCGGGAAACAGCATTTTTTCCTTAACACTAAGAAATGGAGAATCCCATTTGTAGTGGCTGGTATAGAAACAGGTTGGGAACGTCAGCGGACTACGGCGCATGCAAATCAGACAACTCAGTGGCTTGATCAACATGGACCAATGGAAGAGCGGCTAATAAGGCACCGGAAGTCGCGTTTTGTCTTTTTCGCACGCCTCCCGTCGTCAACTGACTTTCCGATTCTGTTGCTAAATCAGCAAACTAATTATAATATGGGCAAGGATATGAGGTAATCCAGGAATTACAACTATACTGTAAGCTTTTTTGTTCTGAATGTACAAATGAAAATGAAAAAATATTTGAGTAAAGTGGCCGGTTTAAATGAACAGAAGACAAAATAGCTCTGATAAAATGTACAGCTTAAACTTAAGTCTCATTCTGTTTTTCCTCTTTAGCTGTTGTTTTCCACCGGCATTCTACAACTTTCTTCATCGTCAGCGAATGTGGAATGTTAACGTGGTGACCATTTGAATAAAATTCGTTCGACATTACGTAGGCTGCAGAGCTTGCGTCGCAAACGCAATTTATCTTCGCCTTAGTAACATCTGCGAATTACTAGAAGTGCATTTTGAATTTCCTTTCATCCTGATTGGCAAATCAACAATGGCTTTTTTTAACAGCCAGTCATGACGCGTTCTCAAATCCTGGTACACAGGTGGGAGCCCGGAAAAAGAATACCTTGACTGTTTCGCAGACGGACTTAACCTGAGATTAGTTTCTTCTGCGGCACAGGATACGACATAGGAGACTGAGAACAGGATAGGATAAAAGTTATAAAAACACTTCCGGTGCACCGTTAAACCAAGTGCCTTATCTGAAAATAAGAGGGTAGTACGTTTTGAACACTGAAAAAAGCCTAAAAGTGCTTATTCAAAGTCAAACTTAACTTGCTCACTAGTTCAACATATGTTTGAACGAAGTCCGAGTTCCTTTTGCTTTGCTCTGGAGATATCAAGACTAAAAGTTATTTATCATCTCTTCGGCTCTATTAAACATTTCAACGAAATTTATTTTAGGGTTGATGGTTTCATTTCTTTTCCTCTTACTTATTTTTGGATCTAGAGTTCAGGACTTGCCTAACTCATAGGTGCTAAACGTTCTGCGTGCAGCAATATTTTTGGTGCAATCGATACTTACTGTATAATAACATGGTAGACCTCATTGCTACTTAATTTTGCCGATGAATAATTTCGCGATTAAAATACTAATCCTCGCAAAATATAAATATACAAAACCTCGAAATTTGACAACAACAACATAGAGGATATGTATCGATGAATACAAATTTTAAACTATTAAATGGTTTTTACTGATAAGTTCCATTGTTTTGTTTTCTGGAGTTGAGAATCTCCTTTTAAAAAAGGTTCCAACAGAGTCCCGACTTTTTTTTATAATGCCTGAATCGCGAAATTTAATGCTCTATTTATCACATTTGCCCGAATGAAATCACAAATTAAAGTAAAACGCCGCGAAATACTGTCTTGCCAAAAGCATACGCGTGAAATTAAGTACCAATTTAGAGATGTAGTTATAGACGGTTAGAGAGAACAATGCTATAGTATGAAGGGTAGAAAAGACTTACCGACATGTTCCTTTCAAACGTTACTGCAAAATAAAGAGGAGTTTGATTATATCAAGTTTCCTGCTCAATGGCTTAATTGGAAATGGACGTTTTTATAAATGTCTTTTTGACGCTGAGGCATTGGGACACTGACAGTCAACCATCATGAAGTGCGGTTTTGTGGCGGTTTAGCTATAGCAGTTGCCATGGTTTCAAAATATAACATTGCTTTGTTCAACAGCTGAAAATGTTGTGCTAGAAATTTCAACTGAAGAATAAGAGGTGATTAGTTTACTTGACTGGCTGTTGAGAAGATCACCCTTCCTTCCAGGAAACAATAGTAAAAAAAAAAGTTTGAATTATTCATTTACTTTCAAGAAATAAAATGAGTGAAATATCAGCAAAATATGTCTAGATATTTTTGTTTTGAACAATGCTGTTGAACTTTTTCGACCCGCAGCTCCTCCCTTGTCTCAGAAAAGGCGTTACGGCGTCACGGCGTAAAATTTCTCAGACTAAGAATGTAAGAAGATAGGGAAGCAGAAATAAACACAATCTGGTTTGCCAAGGTCATATTTTAATAGCCTAAACTATTAGTTCGGAAAAAACATATGGAAAGCCAGGACTATATAATTTGTTTCAGTATTTCGTCAGCTGGTGGCAATTAAAATCTAACTTCACATCAGATGACGTGCTTCACTAAAGATCAAGACTATGAAACAAAAGGCACTATATTTCAAGCCATACTTCAAAGTTTTTAATCAAAAGATTTTATTGATACGGGAATTATGACGAATCTTCTCTTTATAAACCGTCTACTGCCTGAATGACTGGGACGTCTCGATGTTGACGATAGCTCGAGCTCAATTATTATCATTTTTAGAAACTAACTGTATTTGTTTTCTATTTGCATTTTTATCATCTCTTGCGATACTTCCATTTGATTACGTAAGATATTTTTTTGATGCTTACTGACTTATTATTATTAATGATAATAATATTATTATTTATTGATTTGTTGATTTATGTTCGGTTGGTGACAATGAGTTTCTAAGGAAGAGCAATCGTTAGCTCATTTGGGAGAGCGCCGGTATGCTGAGCGGTCTGCGCTGAGCGAGAGGTCGCGGATTCAAACCCCGGCCGGACCAACACCCAGGTTCTCCTTTTGTAATCACATCTGCAAACGGTCAGACTTTCTAGTCTTCTCTGATAAGCACGAAAAAGAAAACCCGTAGGTCCCGTCTCACAGCGCTTTCACTTATCTGGTTTGTGGGATGTAAAAGAACCCACACCTCTGTTCAAAAAGAGTAGGGAACGTAGACCCCGGTGGTACGGCCAACCTTTCTTGGGCTGGATGGGTTATTATCTTGATATAGAGATAACCTTATGATCCTTCAGCTGTCGTAATGGCTACCTGTAAACAGTGTATGTGAGCAGAAGATCTGGTCAATCTGAGCAAAAATGAGTACAAACGATAAGAAACAGCGCCAAAAGCAGTAAGGTCTTATTAAACTATGAAATGAATTTAAACGTCAAGCATAATAAATGTTCACTTTATTCAGCTTTTTGGTTTTTGTGTTTTGGTTCTGTTCTGTTTTGTTTTCCGTTTTCTTTTGTTAGGATTGAAAGCTGGTTGGTCAAAATTTAGTAGATAGGAACTAATGTGCGTTTTACGAGGTTGTCTGTTTGATCGCCTAAGATGGGGTCTTTCTGCAGGTACAGGAAAGCTTTGTATTTTTGGTCACTTGGGATTAGTCTTTATTTGGAGTTGTTTTGTTTCCTGTCTTTTATTACTATTGTATTACGTAATCTGTGCTCCGGTACTCACAGAAGGAACCCTAAGATGGGAAATAGAATCGAGATATACGGCAAGCGAGCAAAGCTAACTATTGGTTGTACAAGAACTCCTCTAAAGTACAGACGTGTTTAACACTCGGCCACTCTCATTTCAATAGTAAAAGAATAATAGGAATTCAATATTTTAGGACATAAACAGGTAAAAACGAACGATAAAAACCGACGTTTCGGAGTAGTCATGACTCCATTATCAAGGAAAAGTTTTTTTGATCATGCAAATTACAGCACTAAAAGCGATGTGGCGCGAAAATTAACATAACGGGGTGCGAAGATTATGAAAATACTTTCGCACGAAAGAGTCTGATTGCACGTTCAAATTTGGCTTTAAGGTTCTTATGAAAAGCATTTCGTACCTAAACAGTCAAATTTGTTCCTGCATTTCTTAAGCACTTCGAAACGTTTCAGCAGATCCTTAGAGATCGTCCCGTGCATGTTCTTGTAACGTTTGGCAATGGCGGAGAACTTTTGTCAGACCTTAACGATTATGTCGGCGGATTTTCTTTTAACTGTGTATCTTCTCTAAAGGTTCAGGCTTTCCTCTGTTTTGTTTGACAATACAACTACTGATTTCAATTCATTTATTGAGAAGGAGTGAATCATCGCCAACTATAGAAATTATCAAGCGAAACACGTGGTGATGTTGTGATCATCTGATCTTGCAGCCTGTGTTTATGGATCAGAAAGGGTATTTTTAGAGACCTATATTAGATTCTAGGACGAGAACGACTAAGAAGAGCTAGGACAAACGGATGTTTTCACAGGCTATGGGAAACTCCATTGCACTTCTTTCTCACCAAAAAAATTAGCACTGTTATGTCTACTTAAAACGTGGTCTGTACGAAGTTTTTGTTATTTAAAGGTAGCCATGGCGCCTGGGGTAAACGTTCCATCTCAAATGCTGTCGTCTTTTCCCCTTTAGGGATCATTTTTTTCCTATAGACATAAGGCCAACAGATCACTTCTTTGCATGCATTGCAGGTCAGCCACTTTGATTTTGGATTCAAAAATAATTATTATGAAATTCTTGCCGAGGAATCTATTACCCCCTTTTCCACAAATCTTAATATATCGTTTCCGTAGAGCCTGTACTCAAAGGATCTCTTAAAAAAATGCACCTGGTTACGGACCGCATGAATCAAAATATTTTGTTGCAACTGGATTATGATGTAGCTTAAAGGATGCGTTGCTAACGGCGTTTCACGTAAGAAGTGATTATATCGATGACAGAGAAGGTCAAACACATGTCACATATTAATTGAAAAGAATATGTGAAATTCTTTTGCCAAAAAACATGTGCGATGCGAAAGGTCTGATGTTTCTGGCCCATTCCTCCTTTCTATTTCTTTTTGCGAAATGCAGCATCTTGCGAAATCGAGATTTATGAAATCTTTAGTACGCTTAGCAAGAAAAAGTGCAAAAAATAGTGACATGAGACAACAACGAAACCTCAATAGAGTATCAATATGTTTATTTGTTGCTGAAATATTTCACCCAATGATTAACTACTCGTGGGTTGTTGAATCAAGTGTTCTACGTAGGCAAAGATATCAAAATATTTTCCGCGGTCCAGGTTTTCTTTAATACTTCCTTTTATAGGAGGAAATAAAACGAAAGGATGGCACAGAAATTAGAAAAAAATTTTGTTTTTGAAGAGAAACTGATGGAATTATTCTTCCGAAAGGAGTTTTCGGGAAGTGGTCTGACTTTGAGTATTTGTTTTGGTTTACAGATGGAAGAGCGCCGGCATTAATTCTACATAGCTATGGCATAATTTAAGGAAACACAAAAAAATGCTTCATGAATTGGCTTCCGGAAAAGCCTAAATATGGCGCCGAAATTGCAAAAGGTTGTCATAATTACGTACTTGGGCCCACACGTTGCCAACTTCAGTGAAATGTATAAAAGCCAACGTCTGTAACCTAGCTGCTAACAGATCAGAAAATCTGCATTGAGCAGCAAGAGGTGAAAGGCTAGAATCTGCAATAACAACACAAATCAGGAACAATCATGGTAAGAATTTCTTGTGCCTAATTCTTTAAAGGCAATTCTTACCCCTAATTTTTGCATGCATTGTTGAAGTTGATTATAAACTGCATTTTGGACAGAACTATCCAACGATAACAACATAAAAAGTCTTAAGTTATCTTCACTAAAACTTGGACAGATTTTGATAACTTTCAACTTGTTTTTAAGAGGAAATTGTGGTGGATATATCTTATTATCGCACCACTTATTGACGGTTATGCATCTATAAGTAACATGAATTTTTGGCCGGCTTATTTAAATTCGGACCGATTAAAGCTACAAAACACCGACTATAAACTAGTACTAATTGGGCCTCTCTGACTGTACCACCCTGTAGTTGCTGAATGGGGCTAAAGTCCAAGAGAATCTTAAAATCATTAGTAACGAATTGAAGATCGAACCATAATCGCATTCTTTACTAGGTGACTTTTCAGAGACGGGCGGATTAAGCCTCGGACGTAAAAGAATCCCTCCGGCCCCCCATAAGGTTTTTTTGAGTTTTTTCCTAGAGGATAAAACCCGGGGGGGTACTCCCTTATAAGGGCTTAATGGGGACGTGCGGCCAGCCAGGGTATGTTTTTCGGGATTTTTGTCTTAAACAGGGTATCGAATTTATCTTTTTTTGTCTTAATCAGGGTATCGATTTATCAATTTTTGTCTTAAACAGGATAAATGTCTTAAACAGGGTATCAAAAATCGATAATAAAGGATTAAATTAACTGCAAAAACCGTGGACGAAGATCCTGCTAGTTGTAAACATTGGATCTCTAGAAAAGAGATCAAATCAGCCAAAATATAAAGAAACAAGAACGAGAAGTCCGAAGACTACAGAAAAGCTGATTTAAAACAATGTTTATTGCTGTCTTGAACAGGGTAGGAAAATCAACGATATTTGTCTTAAACAGGGTCAGGGTATGAGGGGCCGCGCCGCACCTCCCCACCCAGCGATATATCGAGTACCCCCCCGGGGATAAAACATCAGCAACTGACGATTTCAGTAGCTGTTCGTTCATCCCTCTCGCAGATTTTGAGAAGAGTTTAGTGATGGTAAGTTACTATGGTTACGAGATATGACGTCATAAAATGAGGTGGTCAAGCAAATTTTTGGTGAAAATACATGTTTTTTCAACTTCTTTCAACAATAAAAGTAAATCTTGAGGCTAAAATCTTGCAAAGTGTTTATTTATGTGTTATTTTTCATGTAAGGCATAAAAAATTACCATTTCTCGCAGTTTTAACCTGATATTTCCAATTCTTGGTAAAATCCAAGATGGCGGCCAAGATGACAACCATTGCTGGTGACGCAGGCCTCAAGCAGCTCCACCACTCATAAAATATACCTCATCTTGTTAAGAAGATCAAAGGCTTTCCACTAAAGGCAAAATCGTTTCAAAATACTGCAACATATCAAAAACTCCGGGGAGGGGTTCCATCCATCCCCCCCCCCTGTACCACGGTGGGGGTATGAATTTGCTTGTACGTCCGAGGGTTAACTAATTAAACCTCGATCTGGCCAAAACGGTCTCAAGTAGCCGGTTCGTTATCCGCGGATAAAAAGCATATGCTTGAATTATTGCTATCTTTAGCTTGCGCGATTGTTAGTAACAAAACATAGCCGGTCTCTGATTCTTGAAGACGTAAGGAAAATGAACCGGTAGACGAACTTATGAATCAATTTACTGTTTTCTCCAGGCCGCAAAGACAGATATCACCGTAGTTTCATTAGTCGTAATGGTGTTTACAGCCAGCATGGTTGCTGTTCAAGCCATCCCAAGGCCCAATCTCGACAGTACCGCCGTGTGTGTCAGCTGCTGTCATTCTCAATGGAAAGCCTGCATGTCGCAATGTCAGCCAATCAGCAGTTGTATTGATTGCAGTATGGCATATAGCAATTGCACGCTGGAATGTCCCGGTTCGTGCCAGATTTGAGAAGTATTCGCGGCTGGACAATGAACATACTTGGTAGATTTCAAAGGATAATTTTGCTGTCTGGAGAACCACTGTTCAATCATTCAGGGTCGGAAACTTCTAACAATGGACCTGTCTTTCCTAAACCTCCATTGTCCGAGACTTTTACAAAATTTCTTATTTGTATATAGTTAGTTATTATTTATTAGAAGGCTCGGCATGTATTATAAAATTGCAGAAGTTGTATTTCTCTTAGTCGTGTAATAAAGAGACGTAACATCAAAAAAAGCAATAGAGCCTTTCACGTGGCCAGCAGCTATGCCAATTTATTGGAAAAAAGAACGTTTTTACACATGAAGGGAAAATTCTGAATCAACCCCCACAGGGTTGGCTTGGGACGCCAACACGGCCGCCGTTTCATTGTTTTGTGACACCAATATTCATAGTCATTTTCACATAGACCATAATGCACCTTGCTTACCCCACATTTTGGGTAACCATTGTTTCCAATTTTCTCCTGGGTATTACAGTCGTCCCAAGAGAATTCGAAAAGGCAACAGTTGTGCAAAATTTGGGTGGGGGGCGGGGAGGGAGGATAAGCAAGGTGCATTATGGTCTTTGTGAAAACGTTCTGTTGGTTTAAAGCTATGGTACAGCGGGCAACACAGCCTGTTCAAGGCTCCGAGATAATCGGGTCCATAAAATTGAGAAAGCGCGAACAAGGCCACATTACGCTCTCATATTTCCGCGTGCTTTTCACTAACGCTCCACCCCCACTATCTGAGAGTTTGGAACAGGCTACGGGCAATAAGACAAACGGGTGGCTTGGTGTAGTGCCCCTTGCTTTGAGTTTGTCTTACGGGCAATAAGGCAACTCGGTTTTTAACATAATGAGTTAAAAATTATCCTCTCCTGGTCGAAAAAAATGTTGCGCGCTTTACCACCCACGTTCAAACATCAGCTACTGAAGCAGTAGCTGTCTGTTCTTTTTACAAATATGAAAGGATGCTTGGATTTTTTTCTTATACTGGCTTCTCAAAAATTACCAAAATGCAAGAAGCGCGCGTCAGTGTAGTCATAGTGACGCAACAGTCGCTCGAATTGTGCGCAGTCGTAAGAAAAATAAGACGACCTTTTACCTCTTTCTCATGATTAAAGTGGTTTGTAACCTCAGAGGAAGTTGAAGTTTTGTAAACTTTAGGAGGAATTTTTGACCACAATCAAAACATTTGAATTGCACAGTTTATTGAATTTTAGTCCCATAAATCAGCTGTTTTTGACTGAAGTCAGTATTCCGTGGCACTATTCCTACTACATTTTGGATTTCGAATTGTAACTGTAATAGTAGCAGTATACTACCCTGTGCACACCGACGTCTCGAAATGTAAATTATTGCAGTCAAATTTACAGTTTAAGGTAAAGACAATAAGTGTGAGGACTTTCCATTGTAGGTTCACTTAACCCAGGAAATGGTCTACTTGAAACAATTACTCGAAAGCAATATTTCTTAAATAGATACATGACACTGTCATTCGCAAAAAAACTATGCCCTGATATGTCTAGCTAAAAACCCTAACTTTTATCGTCAGTGACATTTACGGTTGATCTACCAACTCATATTTTTCATATTGACAAACTGTTTCAGAATATCAGTAGGTTTTGATGCGTGAATGAAGTGTGCCAATATATACCGAAAGAAATAATGTATTTCTGACTTTTAGCAATGTTCTGTTATGATACAAATCTTGCGTTGGATTTTTAAAAATCAAAATATACATGTTTCCAGCTATGATAAGCAGAATAATTGGCATGTTCCGTAATTAGTCAGGTATAACAAGGAAGATTAATTTCATTTTTTAAAACGGTTTAGGATGTGTTTTATGGCTAAAAACGCCAATGACACCGCATTGAATTGCTAGCAAAACCTGCCTAGAGTGATTCAGTCAGGATGGAGGTAAATTTTGTAGATGCGTGAGAAATGAAGTGTAAGTTGGGCATAGGCGATATTTTGCATTTAAAACGGCGTCTAATACAATATCACGCAGTTAAAAGCAGCTGAAGGCTCGGCCTAATGCTATCTTAGAAAGACCGTTCAGTTTAGTGTTAAAAATGGTGATCATTGACTTGCATATGAAATGATTTTCTTAGTGACAGAAATATAGCACGGGTAAAAAATTCGCTTCATCGAAAAAGGTGGATTATGTATCTTTAAAAAAATCAAGATGGATCGGTTTTATGTAACACCTAAGACACCATGACTATTCGTCTTTCAGAGATTATCATATTCAAACTATTTCATCCGTATTTTTATCGTTTTAGTGTTCGTTTGTGCAGATTAGTTGTGTATTCCACTGGCCAGACACAGGCCTTTTCTTTTTCGCGAAAAAGTGGCAGAAAATATTCCTAAATGGGGAAATCAAAAACGCCGTCTTTTTAATGTTCGTAGTTTTCAGATTTCTCACATCGACTTGATGTGTTTACCGTAGGTCGGCAAACATCAATTTACTTTTAATATTGGACTTTAGGAGAACAAAAACGAAAGACAAAGAATACTAATTAAAAGAACACAAATTGGCAATCTTTTGTCACTCCAGTTTTTTCATTTAAATAACATAATACCTTCCGAGAGCACGATCTTAATATTAAATGGCAGCTACTAAATATCTTCCTCCGGAACAGAGGTGGCTTCTGTCGAATTTACTTGACATACTGTAGAAAAACGAGACAGCTGATATTCTTTTGAGATCCTTGGAGGTAAAAAGCTGAGTCATTAATAAAGAAAGGAAGTTTTTTTTTCTTATTTCAAACATGTTAAATGACTGAAGTTATAAACTGCTGAATTTGCATAAAGTATCTCATTAACCGTTCCAACACGAGCTTGATTGTCAGTGCATAAGGATTTTTTCTTTGATGCACGGTGCTTTATTTACCACAAACTGTAGACGGTTCTGTCTATGGAAAGGTCGTTTAAGGAATATAAATGTTTGGATAGGATTTAACAATTGTTGGTGAGTAATCTCTCTCTCTTGCACTGTAGTTACCCTTTTCAATCGAAAATTAACTTAGAACTGTGAAAAGGTTGCGGCAAAATCAAAAGGTCAAAATGAGTTCTTAACGCAACTTAAGGCTAAGAAAAGTGTGTGTTTGCCTGTTCATGTTTTGCCTGATATATGTTAAAAAAATTCGTGCCATACTACCAGCGACTCGACTGCAGTGACGTTCACAGATTCTGTGTGGCAAAGATTCTTTTTCAAACCTTGCAAGCGTTCCTTCGTTGTTCAGGTTTGTTACTGCGATAATTTGATTTTTAAGCATTGAAAAGTTACCCGGGGCTAGAGCTATAGTTTAAAGTTCTTCATGAAAATTGGCTTTCCCTAGCACAAAATCATATTCTGTTCTCTTTGAAATCTAGTAAAATGGCATAGTTAATCATGAATTATTTTTCTTGTGGGGTTTTCTTATGCAAAAGTAAACATGGCAGACCAAGTGACTCGGCTAACAATTCTTAAAACCCCCTCCGATTATTCAAGTTTACAGATTAATTTAGAATTTTGTCCCTAATCGAAGCGGGATTATTATTATTTTTTATGGGACTGTCCTGATTTTATGGTTTAAACAAAACGAAAATGAACCGATTTTTCTCTTACTTGTCAATTGTGTATCTCTATTCATACCAATTTCATTATTGTTCAATCTGACTCCTTTAACGCTCATTGGTTCAGATGGCAGTATTTCTGGCCAAAATAATTTCAGCGCAAATTAATCCCCTTTGCTGTTTTCTTTTGGCTCCCGAGAGATATAATGAGATCTGAAAATATAGTTGAAACTATACACTAAGGACGTCGCAGTCCTGATCTTTGTGTTTCATTTTCATTTTCATCAGTTTCTAAAGTGGGATCATTTCTTCAACCTACATCTTTTCAAATGTAATTTTCATTCTTTTCTTTATTTTTCTTCTTAATGCATAAAAGAGCAACAAAATTCAGCAGATTTGAATTATAAAATTATCTGAAATGGCCAAAAATTTGGTTCGTTCCTAAGTGTATACATTTTGAAAATGAACTTACTATGAAACAACACGAATTAACACTTCAGATATCTTTAAATACCTTCATCAGAAACTGCTGTATATCATTTTTCAGAAAGTGTATTTTAAAGCTTTGAAAATCGAAGGTCAGTTGCTTACAATATAAACTACAAAAGGAAAGAATAATTGTCTGTCAAAAGATTAAAAGTGGGGGGAGAAGATCAATTAAGATCATATTGAAGAACAAGTAGGAGTTTCTTTAAACAAAAGCCTAAACGATAAACCTTTACTCAACTGCTAGAATTTTCAAACAAGAGTGCAGAATATAAAAGTGCAAGTACATCTTTACAGCCTTAAA